TCCCACAAGTGTGTTTGTTGACGAACGTTTTATAAACAAGGGCCAGTTCGACGCTGGATTTGCGCATCGTTTGATACTGAAAGATGGAGCGGTCGAGCTATAAAAGATCCCGGTTATGATTCAGAACGGTAAGTGAAACGGCATCAAATGTCTGTGTTTTGTTGGCATTCGGCGCCCAAGTGCTCGTCACTCTTTAGCTCCGCCCACGACACACCTCCAGGAGCTCGGCTGTTTCCGGAGAGAATCGGAAAGCTGTATCTTTCTTTTATAAATATGATAAAACTAAAGACTTTTTGGAGATATGAAGGATGCAGTACTACTCTATAGGTACTCAAGATTAACATGAGATTGGGTGAAACTGTGTGTGTTATGTCCTCTTTACATATTTATTTTTAATATCGTGAATAATGAGCATTACCAATAAAAATCGAGAAACAAGTAAACCATATGGATGCAACAAAATATTTAGTTTCTGACTGTGGGCTGAAATGCAACATGGACGTGTCAACATTCGATTGTGTGTTGTGTGCTCGCAGGTGTTCCAGTGCGCTAAAGAAAGCGCCTCCCGCCATCTGCCGCCCTCCGACACCATCCTGGTGAACCTGTGCATGGCCAACCTGCTGACGTCGGTCTTCCGGACGGTGCCCATCTTTGTGTCGGATCTGGGTCTGGAGGTGTCGCTGTCGCCGGGCTGGTGCCGCGTCTTCATGCTGCTGTGGGTGTGGTGGCGCTCGGTGGGCTGCTGGGTGACTCTGGCCCTCAGCGCCTTCCACTGCGTGACCCTGCGGAGGCAGCATGTTAGCATGGGTCCGCTGGGTCATCAGCGCGAGCGCCGGCGCATCTGGGGCGTCCTGGGCATCGTCTGGGTCGTCAACCTGCTGTTCTCGCTGCCGGCGCTGGTGTACACGACACATGTGCGCGGAAACGCCACGGTGGAGCTGATGGTGATCAGCTGCACGACTCGCCCGCTGCTGGGCTGCGTTTGGGAGTTTCCCACCGACCAGCAGGGCTACGCCTTCGCCTCCACGTCGCTGGCGCTCAACGAGGTCATGCCGCTGATTCTGATGGTCGGGACTAATTTCGCGACGCTGCACTCGCTGGCCAAACACATCCGGGCGGTGACGGCAGGTGGCGGCGGCGCGGCGGAGCTGGACGTGTCCAGCGAGAGGAAGGCGGGTCACGTGATCATGGCTCTGGTCGCGCTGTTTGTCGGCTGCTGGGTGCTGCAGGTCGCCGCGGTCACGTACTACAACCACAACGGCGGGAAGCACACAGAGGGACTGCTGACTGTCGCGCATTTCTCGGCGTCGCTCTTCGTGGGCTTCAGTCCGCTGGTGGTGACGCTCGGACATGGGAAACTGCGCCGGAGAATCAGCGTGATGATGCAGCGCTGGATGCACTGGATCACACGCCCGCGAGCGGACGCCGCCGCACAGAAAGACGCGACAGTCGCGAAAACTGCACAGAGCGGGAAAACGTGACTTATATTTGCATCAGTCATGTGCGCAAATTGAGGACATTTTATTTTTCAGGATTCACAGGTAAATAAGAAGTTACGAAAAACAATTTAATTTGAAATAGAAATCTTTTGTGACGGTATAAATGTCTTTACTGTCACTTTTGATCGATTTAATACGGAAATCCATTTCTGCTACTGAATAAAAAAGTTTCTATCTCACACTTATGACTTTTTTTCGCAACTGCGAGTTTATATCTTGCAATTCTGAGAAATATAAACTCACAATTGCAAAATAATTTAAGAATTGCAAGATATAAACTCGTAATTGTGAGAAAAAAGTCAGAATTTTGAGATACAAACTCGATTGCGAGAAAAAAGTCAGAATTGAGATAAAATCTCAATTGCGAGAAAAAAATTAATTGCGAGTTAAAAACTGAATTGCGAGAAAAAACTCAGAATTGTGAGATAAAAACTCAATTGCGAGAAAAAAGTCAGAACTGTGAAATAAAAACTGAATTGTGAGAAAAAACTGAATTGCGAGAAAAAACTGAATTGCGAGATAAAAACTGAATTGCGAGATAAAAACTGAATTGTAGTCAGAATTGAGATAAAAACTCAAATTGCGAGAAAAAAGTCAGAATTGAGATAAAAACTCACAATTGCGAGAATAAAGTCAGAATTGAGATAAAAACTCACAATTGCGAGAAAAAAGTCAGAATTGTGAGATAAAAACTGAATTGCAAGATAAAAACTCAATTGCGAGAAAAAAGTCAGAATTGTGAGATAAAAACTCATAATAGCGAGAAAAAAGTCAGAATTGTGAGATAAAAACTGAATTGCGAGAAAAAACTCTGAATTGCGAGATAAAAACTCAATTGCGAGAAAAAAGTCAGAATTGCGAGATAAAAACTCACAATTGCGAGAATAAAATCAGAACTGTGAGATAAAAACTCACAATTGCGAGAAAAAAGTCAGAATTATGAGATAAAAACTCAATTGTGAGAAAAAAGTCAGAATTGAGATAAAAACTCACAATTGCGAGAATAAAATCAGAACTGTGAGATAAAAGCTCACAATTGCGAGAAAAAAGTCAGAATTATGAGATAAAAACTCACAATTGCGAGAATAAAATCAGAACTGTGAGATAAAAACTCTCAATTGCGAGAAAAAAGTCAGAATTGAGATAAAAACTCATAATTGCGAGAAAAAAGTCAGAATTGAGATAAAAACTCATAATTGCGAGAAAAAAGTCAGAATTGAGATAAAAACTCATAATTGCGAGAAAAAAGTCAGAATTGAGATAAAAACTCACAATTGCGAGAATAAAATCAGAACTGTGAGATAAAAACTCACAATTGCGAGAAAAAAGTCAGAATTGTGAGATAAAAACTCACAATTGCGAGAAAAAATTCAGAATTTAGATAAAAACTCATAATTGTGAGAAAAAACTGAATTGCGAGGTAAAAACTGAATTGCGAGATAAAACTGAATTGCGAGATAAAAACTGAATTGCGAGATAAAAACTCAATTGCGAGAAAAAAGTCAGAATTGAGATAAAAACTCATAATTGCGAGAAAAAATTCAGAATTGTGAGATAAAAACTTAATTGCGAGAATAAACTGAATTGCGAGATAAAAAGTCAGAATTGTGAGAAAAAAGTCAGAATTGAAATAAAAACTCATAATTGTGAGAAAAAAGTCAGAATTGTGAGATAAAAACTGAATTGCGAGAAAAAACTGAATTGCGAGATAAAAATTCAATTGTGAGAAAAAACTCTGAATTGCGAGATAAAAACTCAATTGCGAGAATAAAATCAGAACTGTGAGATAAAAACTCACAATTGTGAGAAAAAATTCTGAATTTAGATAAAAACTCAATTGCGAGAAAAAACTCAATTGCGAGATAAAAACTCAATTGCGAGAAAAAACTGAATTGCGAGATAAAAATTCAATTTCGCGAGAATAAAATCAGAACTGTGAGATAAAAACTCACAATTGCGAGAATAAAATCAGAACTGTGAGATAAAAACTCATAATTGTGAGAATAAAATCAGAACTGTGAGATAAAAACTCA